TTTGGGTGTGCACAGGTACCTCTGGGGACAAGCTGAGCTGAACTGGGAAGGAAGGGAACAGCTCCTGCCTTGCAGGTGCCGTGTCCCAGCCCTGCCTTGTGGACAGATCCCAGGGGGATGTGCCCCAGCCCCTCTGGCCTGCTGGCCAGGTGTGGGTGGTGGGTGGTGCTGGCAGGGAGGAGATCTCATGTCAGACATGCTCTGGGCTGAGGGCAGGCTGGGGGTCCTGCCCCTGGAGCAAAGCACAGCAGGCTCTGCTCTGGGAGGGCTTGGGGTGTCCTCTGCCAAACCCAGCTCTCTGTCACTGTCCAGCACTGGGAGGTCCCCTGCCAAGAAAGCTGTGGCCAAGGCACTGCTGTTTCCAGGGGGAAACCTCCCAGTTGGATGCCAGAGGTCAGATTCTTAAAACCTGCCTGCAGATCAGCTTCGGGCCAGATTCTGGGCAACCTCCTCCTATAAATTTATGGGAAGGGGGGAAAATGGGACCATCTGGAACGTTTACAGAGCTGTCTGCTCCTGTCTTGCTTTGTCTGCTGCAGAGGGACTTTCCATGAGGGCCTGGAGGGACAGGACCAGGAGGAATGGCTTCCCACTGCCAGAGGGCAGGACTAGATGGGATATTGGGCAGAAATTATTCCCTGTGAGGCTGGGGAGGCCCTGGCAGAGGTTGGCCAGAGAAGCTGTGGCTGCCCCTGGATCCCTGGAAGTGTCCCAGGCCAGGTTGGACAGGGCTTGGAGCAACCTGGGCTGGTGGAAGGTGTCCCTGCCCATGGCAGGGGATGGGACTGGATTCATTTAAGGTCCCTTCCCACCCAAACCATGCTGGGATTTGATGCTGTGGCTGAGGGCACAGTGCTGCAGCTCCACATGTCCTGGCAGTTACAGCAGCTCCCGTGGTTTGTCCCTGTCTTTCCATATTCCAGTCACGTGCCCTGCGTTCCCTGTGGCCTTTCCTCACCCGGTGCTGTCTGAGCTGCTTGTGATTCCACATGTTCCAGCCCTACCCCAGGGGATCCTGTGCTCTGCTGGTGTCTTCTGGTGTGATGGAGCCACTTGTGACTGTTCCCAGGGCTGTGCTCCCTCTGTGGCCCCTGGATCCAGGTGCTGTAGGAGCAGGGAAGGCCCTGGAGGGAGGAGTGTTGTGCAGGAGGCTCTGCTCCTGTGTGTTCCTGGCCATGTGAGCGGGGTGGAGGGGCAGGTACAAACCTCTGTCGTGGTGTCACCTGGACCTCAGGCATTGTCCTGGGGAGTCATGGTCTGGGGGAGACGCCAGCAAAGGAGGATGTGGGAGTGCCACTCCTGAGCTGTGGCACGGGAGGGACGGGATGGGAAGGCAATGGCACGTGTCGTGTCCGAGTCCAGAGGGGGCACAGGCCGGTGGCTCATCCCAGAAGCTTCCAGGGCAAGTGTGAGTCCAGCAATAGGAGACTGAAGTGAGGCCTGGTAAGGGCCTTTTGTAGCAAAACTGCTGCTAAAACCCTCAAACCCTTCCGTTCTGTGTCCCTGTGTCTGAGCAGGAGCTGGTGGTGCCCTTAAGGGACCTAAAGGTGCAACAGTGTAGATCCTACATCCCTCTGGATGGTGGGAATCCCACTGGTGGAGCATCCAGCGGTCCTCTGATCCGTGTGCAGTGAGCTGGGCAGGCCCCATCTGGAGAAGATACTTCCCACATTTGATTATTCCAGCTATTACAGGATTTTCTAACAGGAAAACAACTCTGTCCCTCATTTCCAGTGTCAGATGGGAAGAGCATTCACAGGAATGCTCAGGAGACCCGGACAGGCAGCTGGATCCAAGGATTTCCATTTAGTGTGGAAAGCACTTTTTTTCCTGGATGCTCTTCTCCCTTTTCTGCTCCTTCCAGGTGGGAATCCAGCTGCTGGTCCCGTGTAGTGTCCTCAGCCAGGCTCAGGAAATCCCTTTGGCTCCAGGCCCGGAGCGCCGTGGGGAGCTGGGAGCTGTTCCCGGCAGGATTTTATGGCTGCTCTGGAAATGGGAGCCCTGAGGAGAGCTCTGCAGGGTGTTCAGAGGCACTGATGTGCCCGTGGCAGCTCAGACCGGTGGAACTGGGAGCCAGGGCAGCAGGACAAGGGAGCGTTTTCCACTGGGATGGGGCTGTGAGGCTCGAGGCCACGGGGATGGAAAGGCCAGTGCCTCCCTCCAGACATCCAGCTTGGCTTCTCCTTGGCAGGAAGGGTGAGGAGGAGGGGAGGCCTTTGAGCCCAGCTCTGGAGTCACTTAACTCCTTCCCCAGGGGCTCTTTAATTGCTCTGAGACAGCTTTTAAACACGCCCAGCTTCCCAAGGCGGCTGCCTGGCTGCGCCGTGAGGAAGTCCAGGAGTGCTCCCAGACTCCGTGATTCCCAGGCTAGAGGGGGTTTTTCTTCTCCTGTTCTGTGATTAAATTCAGGGTTTTGAACCTCTGCCCAGCTCAGTGTGCCCCTTGAAGCTCTCGTGGTCTGCAAACTGCCGTGGTTGGAGGAGACAGCAGCAATCCCGGGATTAACTGGGAACGACCCGGTTCACCAGCCTTGGCTGAGCTTTGTCCCTGTGCTGAGCGGGGAGATGAGGGGAAGGGATTTATCCTGCTTTCTGCAGACACTTCTGGTGTGTGCTGGGAGGTTTTGGTGAGTGATGAGCTGGTGCCACTCACCTGGTGTGGGTGTGTTTACATCCCTTCATCCTGAACAATCCTGGAACTGCTGCGGGAACGCTGCTGGTTTCTGAGCAGTGCCCTTTGCTCTGCGGGGTGTCAGAGAGAATGGACCCTGTTTGGCTGGGGAGTTCCCAGACTCTCTGGTTTTAGCCACACAGGGGTGGTGATGAAGCTCTTTGTGCCCTCAGTCCCCAGTGGGTCCTGCAGGTTTTCCAGGAGGAATCTCAAACCTCTGTGGGATGTCTCACCAGGAGTCACGCAGCTTGTGGCTGTTTTGGCTCCACCCCTGCCCTTGGACACTTCCAGGGATCCAGGGGCAGCCACAGTTTCTCTGGCCAACCTGTGCCAGGGCCTCCCCACCCTCCCAGCCAAGAATTCCTCCCCAGCATGCCATCTATCCCAGCCCTGGTGGGTTGGGATCAAACCCAGCTCCTGGTCTCCCTGAGGAACATCCCCCGTGTTTTCTGCAGCCCAAACCAACTCTGGCAGCAGTGGGAAATTCTCTTTGCTGTCGCAGTGTTATTGTGGCAGGTTTGGATTCTGTCTTTTCTCCCCCCTCCCTCAGTTTTCCTGCCCTGAGTCGCTGCTCTGATCCCTCCCATTCCCACTCCAGGGGTTTGCTGCTGGCTGATCCTGTTCCAACTGCATCCCTGCCCCTGAAGGTTCATCGTTCCCTCCCCTGTGCTCACCACCTCTGCATCCTTCTGCAGCTGATCACCTCCAGCTGTAGTGGAAGTGGTGGTGACCCATATTCATGGATATTTAATGCTCCCAGGCACAGAGAGCTCCTGGATGCAGCTGGAATTGGCAGGCTGCTCTCCAAAGCCTGCCATCAACATCAAGTGTTTCTCCACATTGTGTATCCATGGGGAGGTGATTTCCACTGCACCAGCATGGCTTGGGATGGGGTCAGGACTCTGCAGGGGGGAGGTGGGGTTGGCTCAGAGCCTCATTCCTCCACGTGTCCTGCCTGGAGCTGCTGTGCTGGAGAGCGAGACTTCACTGGGTTCTTCCCTGTGAGGGTGGGGAGGCCCTGGCACAGGTTGGCCAGAGAAGCTGTGGCTGCCCCTGGATCCCTGGAAGTGTCCAAGGCCAGGTTGGACAGGGCTTGGAGCAACCTGGGCTGGTGGGAGGTGTCCCTGCCCATGGCAGGGGGTGGCACTGGATGAGCTTTAAGGTCCTTCCAACCCAAACCATTCTGGGAATCTCCCAGCTGGTGCCAAGGCCATGTCAGAGACTGTTGGCAGGGCAGGAATCTGGTTTTCCCAGTGAATTTGCACGTGGTGTGGGGCTCTGGCCTTGCTGAGCCCCTGCTTGTGTTCAGCTCTGGGCCCCTCACACAGGAGACACAGGGAGGGGCTGGAGCGTGGGCAGGGAAGGGAAGGGAGCTGGGAAGGGGCTGGAGCAGCAGGAGGGGCTGAGGGAGCTGGGGGAGCTCAGCCTGGACAAAAGGAGGCTCCGGGGGGCCCTCTTCCCGCCCCACAACCCCCTGACAGGGGGGGGGAACGGGGGGGGAACGGGCTCTGCTCCCAGGGAACAAGGGACAGGAGGAGAGGGAATGGCCTCCAGCTGTGCCAGGGGAGGCTCAGGTGGGATACTGGGAACAATTCCTGCATGGAAAGGGCTGTCCAGCCCTGGCACAGCTACCCAGGGAGGTGGTGGAGTCCCCATCCATGGAGGGATTTAAAACCCCTGTGGATGTGGCACTTGGGGACATGGCTCAGTGTGGCCTTGACAGTGCTGTGGGATGGTTGGACTTGGTGGTCTCAGAGGACTTTTCCAACCTCATGCCAACCTCATTCCATGATTCTCTGCTGTGTTTTGAAGGTCTTTTTTTTGCTGGATGTCTAAAACCTGCCCAGTGGAGCCCGGGCAGGGCGAGGCCAGGGGCTGGTGTTGGAGCTGCCGCTGGGGCAGACAGGGGGGACATCCATGTCCCTCCTGCTGTTCCCTGCCTGCTGCTGCTCCTGGTGGCAGCCAAACCCATCAGCTCCTGTGGTGGGTGCAGCTCTAGCACTGCCAGCGTGGCAAAGCTGATGATCCCTGCTGCTGCCAGCCAAGAAGTGACCTTAGAAACGACAAACAGGGCTCAGGTTAATCAGTACCATCAGGGGTGAGGTGACTCCTCACCCCTCAGCCGAGTGTGGGCAGAGGGCAAACGGGCCTTGTTTTTCCTGGCACGGCCCTGCTGACTCCCGTGGGCCGGGGTTGGTGAGTTTTCTGCCTCCTGGCTCATCCTCAGCCTGATGGGAGAAGGTTCTTTGCCTTGTGCCCTCTTTGTGCCTAAGGAGATTTACAGGGAGCGGCCCTGTGGACTGGCTGGAGCTGCTCTGCTGCTCGCACCCATGGTGTGGAAACGTGGGCCCGTGGCCTACAGCTGCCATGGGTCCTCCTGGGGAGCCTGTGAGCAGGATGGGATGTGTCCTCCTGGGGAGCCTGTGAGCAGGATGGGATGTGCAAACCCCTCTTTGCCTGCTGTCCTCCCCCAGCCCACCCTGACTCCGGTGTGACAGGGGGGGATGGTGTGAATCCCACCAGGCACAGGGTGGGAGGCTGGGGCTGTCCTGTGCAGGGCCAGGGGCTGGACTCGATGGGCCCTGGGGGTCCCTTCCCCCTCAGGCTGCTCCGTGGGTCTGTGGCAGCTCTTGCTCTGCCGCCGGCTCCGGGGAGCCGGATCGCTTCAGCGTGGAATTGTTTTTCCGGGACAGGAAGGCTGTTAGTAGACTCCAGGCTATAAATCTGTATTTTTTTCCTCTTTGGACGCATAATTGAATCTTCCAGCAGCCTCCTGGTTGCAAGATTAATGTTGTTTTCAAACCCCACGAGCCATTTGTGTCCGTAAATCCCATCACGACTCCAGCCAGCTCGTCTGCGACGGCACCGCGGCCGCCGGGCCTGGCCCTGGTTCTTGGGGTGCCCCGTGGCTCCCTGGGGCACTGGAGGCCCCATCCAGGTGCCAGTGACAGGATTGTTGCTGCTGCCTTTGCTCTTCTCTGAAGGAGTTTCATCCCGAATCCCGAGGGAACTGTCAGGGCTGGGTCAGCTCCTTCCTGCGGCCGTGGCCGCAGACACGGTGCTGGTGTCTGCACTGGGTGAGATTTCAGCTCCCTCCCCACCCAGAGCAGTCTCGGATTCTGTGCTGGGATGGGACTCGAGCAGGGCCTGGCACAGATGCCTGGCTGCTCTGGGAGGGATGAAACTCCTCCTGGGCACTTCTCCTTTTCCCTCTGACCCTCCCTCCCTGAAAACGAGGCAGAAATCCGAGTCCAGGCTGGTGGGAATGGTTGGTCGTGATAGAAAAGCCACCCCTGGAAGGATGTGGGTGACCACAGCAGTGTGTGGAGACCCAGAATGCAGAAGGTGACACTCACTGCAGTGAGGACAGAGGTGAGGGGATGACAGAGCTCAGGCACCGCCGGGTTTGTGGCCTCGCAGGCCAAGAGGTGGAAGGGGCAAATTTGGGAATGTCCATGGGGAGGAAACCCGGCGAGGGAAAGCAGCTGGGGGAGGCTGGGCAGGGTTCTGTCCCTCACTGCAGCTCATTGGAATTCTGGGAGCGTCTGTCCTGGGCAGGCAGCCGTGTGCTGGGTGTCCCAAAGGGTGGCAGCCAGCCTGGCACCAGAGCCAGCCCCCTGTGCCCCGGGGGTGTCCCCTGAGCTGGCACAGCACTGCCAGAGACGTGTCCTGCCAGGAGACTGCCTGGAGCTGGGGGGGTTAGGAAGGATCCAAAGCCGTGGGAGAGCATCCAGGGGCCAAAAAAAAATGGTGGGGAAGGGTCTGGAGGGGAAACCACGAGGAGGGTTTGTTCAGCTGGAGAGGAGGAGACTGAGGGGAGACCCATTGGGGTCTGCAGCTCCACCTGAGGGGCAGCACGAATCCCTGCTCCCTGTGACCAGGGACAGGACCCAGGGAACAGCTGGAGCTGTGCCAGGGCAGGGTCAGGTGGGATCTCAGGAAAAGGTTCCTCCCCAGAGGGTGGTTGGGCACTGAACAGGCTCCTCAGGGAATGGCCGTGGCCCCAAGGCTGCCAGAGCTCAGGGAGGGTTTGGACAACACCCTGAGGGACAGGGTGGGATTGTTGGGGTGTCTGTGCAGGGCCAGGAGCTGGACCTGATGATCCTTGTGGGTCCCTTCCAGCTGAGGATATTCCATGATTCCATGGTTGTATCAACAAACCTCTGCAGAGCAGCTGCCCCCTCCCTCAAGAAACGGGTCCTTCCAGCTCTTTGAGCTCTGCAGGAGAGGTGGGAATGTGTGTGGCCATGGGAGAAAGCTGCCTTTTGACTGTTATCCCCAGTCTTTGCAGGGAGAGGGGAAAGCTTCCCAAGCCATGAGCCTGGAAAAGCTTCCCCGAGGTTCCTCAGGAGCACGGAGGCTCCGGAGCTTCCCCTGCCTCACTCCGTCTGTGTTCTTGTTCCAGGCTTGTTTTGGGGATAATGAGATTAAATCAGACCCTCCTCCTCCTCCCCTGACTGGTGGTTCAAATCCTATTAACCTCATAAAGCATTTGGAATTCTGCCTCCCAAAATTGCGCTAAGCTGGGATGGAAATTCCTCGTGGCTTATCCCTCACCCCCCTATGGCATCGGCCTTGGGGTTTGCTGCTGCTGGCTCTGCAGCTCCCGTGGGATGGCTGGCGTGGGGATGGAAGCTCCGGGGCTGAATCCCAGGGAGATGGACTGATCCGACCTGGGGAGGGCAGGGAAGGGCTGGGAGGGGGCACAGAAACCCTCGCCAAGGGTGGGTTTCATCCCGTTGGGAACAAACGCTGTGAGATGGGAGCCTGGCAGGAGCTGGTGCCCCTTCCTGGCCCTGCTGCCCCTTCCTGGTCCTGCTGCCCCTTCCTGGCCTTGCTGTCCCTTCCTGGCCCTGCTGCCTCTCCTGGAGGGTGTTGCTTGTCCCTTTCCCACCACTTTCTCCCCAGCTTTGGAAACAGACAGGCTGCTTCCAGGGAAAAATGGGGTTTGTGGGCAAGGAGAGGAGCAACCCCTGGGTGCAGTGATGGGGCAGGATCAGGGCCAGGGGTTGGGAGGGGACACAGAGCTGCTGCCTGGGCAGGGGCTTCCTTTTACCAGCCAGACCAAACTTGGGACCTGCTGGAGAGAGTCCAGAGAAGGCCCCAGAGATGCTGCCAGGGCTGGAGCCAGGCTGGGAGAGCTGGGGGTGCTCAGCTGGAGAAGGGAAGGATCCAGGGAGATCTTGGAGCCCCTTCCAGAGCCTAAAGGGACTCCAGGAGAGCTGGAGAGGGACTGGGGACAAGGGATGGAGGGACAGGACACAGGGAATGGCTTCCACTGCCAGAGGGCAGGGAGAGATGGGAGATTGGGAAGGCTGTGAGGGTGGGGAGGCCCTGGCCCAGGTTGCCCAGAGAAGCTGTGGCTGCCCCTGGATCCCTGGAAGTGTCCAAGGCCAGGTCGGACAGGGCTTGGAGCAACCTGGGCTGGTGGGAGGTGTCCCTGCCCATGGCAGGGGTGGCACTGGGTGAGATTTCAGCTCCCTCCCCACCCAGACCAGTCTGGGATTCTGTGCTGGGACTGGACTCGAGCAGATGCCCCTCCTGGGGGGGGGTGTTGCCCCAACCACGGGGGCCAAGGGTGGGTGGGCAGCAGGTTCTGCCCTGCCCAGCCCCGAGCGTGTGAGCCCAGGAGTTCCATAGGCTGTGGAATTTCCTTGGGATTCTTATCAAAGTGTTTCCTGGGGAAGAGGACTTTAGCCAGGGAGATCTGTGTCAGAAGGGCTGTGGGAGCAGAGGACAGCTCGTGCTGCTCTCCAGAGCCAAAGGGTGTCCAGGTTCAACTCCCTGACTGGAGTTGTCTCAGCCTTTGATTTGCATTTCTGTTTTTATTTCTCCCACACACAAACATGCCCCAAGCACCTGAAATGTTGCAGAAGTGGTGGGATGAGGGGCAGGAGCTCTCCCTCCTCGGTTTTCCCCACCCAGGCAGGGCAGAGCAGTTGGAGGCAGGTGCCTGGTGAAGGATCAGCATCTTCTCCTTGCCTCGTGTCCGGCTCAGAGAGCTGGAGCTGACACTTCCAAAGGCTGGAGGGTCAGTGGGTGAGCGCCAGGAGTGCCCTGGGTGCCCCATGCAGGGTCTTGGGGGGGCTTTTTGGGATGTTCACACTGTTTTTGGGGAGACTCCACCCTTGACCCAAGTGCTGTTGCAGTGCCGAGACTCGGGTGGATTTTGTCCTCGTGGAAAGCTCAGTATTCCTGGAACAGCAGTGATGGGACAAGGAGTAACGGATACAGATTGCAAGAGGGGAAATTTAGGTTGGATACTGGGAAGAAATTCTGTACTGTGAGGATGGTGAGGCACTGGAACAGAGTTGTGGATGCCCCAGCTCTGGAAGTGTTCCAGGCCAGGTTGGATAAGTGGGATAGCGGGAGTCATCCCCGCCCATGGTGGAGGGGTTGGGACCAGATGATCCTTAAGGTCCCTTCCAACCCCTGTGATTCTGGATCTCTGGCCTTTCCCAAGTCTTTCTGAGCCCTGACCTGTGGCTTTGTTTCCTCTGTGGTTCCCAGTACAGTGCCGTGGACAGCAACCCCCTGTCCCTGTACGTGATGCATCCCTTCTGGAACACCATCGTCAAGGTGAGCCCCGCCAGCCGCCTCTGGGACACCCTCAGCTGCCTCTTTTGGGGTGCCCTGAGCCCCCAGGGGCTGCCTGCAGCCTGTCCTGAGTCCCTGCATCCCATCCTGCGGCTCGGGATGCTCCGGACGGCGTCCCCGCAGCGCGTGCTCCCTCGCCCGTGGTTTAAGGAGTTCCTCTGCTCTTTTGCTGCTTCCCCACAGATCTTCCCCACCTGGCTGGCCCCAAACTTGATCACCTTCTCTGGCTTCCTGCTCCTTGTGTTCAACTTCTTCCTCATGGCATACTTCGACCCGGACTTCTACGCCTCTGGTAAGGCCGCGCGTTCCCGGCGGGATGTGGATCTGCCACCGGCTGTGCTGGGAATTCCAGAGCATGTGGGGGAGGCTCCCTGGGTCTGGGCCTTCCCAAGTGATGGGACAGAGCAGGGGGTTGAACCCACTGGGCTTCTTGACCAGGACTTGTCTGGGTACCACACCTTCCCTCCGGCTGCCAGGGGAGTGAGCTCTTGGCATCAGGCGGGAGAGGGAGGGGCAAACAGCTGGAATCTTGAGCAGGAATTGGCTCATCCTACAGAGGGAGGAGCAAACAGCTGGAATCTTGGGCAGGAATTGGCTCATCCTACAGAGCAGACAACAACCCGGTGCCCTTGTTTTAAAATCACAGGGTGACGTGGGAAGCGCTGCTTCCCTGGAACCGGCAGCCTCGTTCCTCACATCCCTGCTCGCTGCCCTCTTGCAAAACACTCCACCCCTGCAGACCAACCAGGCCAAATCCTCCTCCTCAGCCTCCCTGTTCACAGCTTTGAGCTTTCCAACACTGCCTGCGATTCCAAAGGCTCAGTTGTCCCTTCCCTCGTGGCAGAGTCCCAGGGAAGGGGTTACAGCGGGATAACTCTCCGTGGATCCCTTTCCGTGTTTTCTCTCCCTCTGCCCCTGCCAGGGTTGGGTTGGGTTGCTCTGGAGAGTTCATTCTTGTTCTTCTAAAACTGAGCCTGTCATCAAAACACAGTTAAGTGGGAAGATCCTGTTTTCTGGGGATTGCCTTTGTTGGTGGGTAGGGGAGTCCAGGCTGTCGAGAGCTCGGGTGGCATCAGGGGGTGTTTGCCAAGATTTGGGTCACGTTTGGTCCTTGGGCCATGGAGGAAAAGCTGACAGTAGGTCAAGGGGAGAATCCCCAGGACATCCAGACATCCAGAATCATGGAATTATAGAATGGTTTGGCTTGGAAGGGACCTTCAAGGCCCTCCAGTCCCATCCCCTGCCATGGGCAGGGACACCTCCCACCAGCCCAGGTTGCTCCAAGCCCCGTCCAACCTGGCCTTGGACACTTCCAGGGATCCAGGGGCAGACACGGCTTCTCTGGGCAACCTGTGCCAGGGCCTCCCCACCTCACAGCCAGGAATTCCTTCCCAATCTCCCATCTCTCCCTGCCCTCTGGCAGTGGAAGCCATTCCCTGTGTCGTGTCCCTCCATCCCTTGTCCCCAGTCCCTCTCCAGCTCTCCTGGAGCCCCTTTAGGCTCTGGAAGGATCTCTCAGGTCTCCCTGGATCCTTCCCTTCTCCAGCTGAGCACCCCCAGCTCTCCCAGTCTCTCAGAAGTTGGCTTTGGAGGGGTGGTGAAGCTCATCCTTTGGGGCCCTTCCTCACACGCGTTTTGCACGTCCCTCTTGGAAAGAGAACCTTTCCTTGTGCTGATGGAACCAGAGCCTTGTGCCTTCCCTCCTCCTGGGATGGCTTTGTGGGCATCACCCTCTGCTTGCCGCTGGGAAGGCACCATCCTGCTGCCCTGAGGAAACAGGGAGTGGCATTCCAAGGAATCACTGCTCCTTCAGGAGACCTCCCCGTGCCCTCCCGCTGTTTTCCAGCGCCCCTCTGGCTCCCTGGCCGTGCTGGGTCCCTGCCAGGGCCATGCTGTGGGAGGTGGGGGTGCCATGAGGGAGCAGCTCCTTTTCCATTGGAGGGATGGGACTGGAGAGCGGGCGGGGAATCCTGGCACGGAGACCGGGAATTGCCACATCCCGGAGAGGCTCCACCCGATGCTCTGAGCGAGGGATCGAGGAGAGTCCCCTGCACACAACTCCGTGGTGCTGCAGTGGGGTTATGGAACTGCCCCAGTTCTTAGATCCTGTGATTTTTGGGGATCTGGGGACAGAGGAGAAGTTAAATCCTGGAAGGAAAATTCCTCAGTGTCCTGGTTTCGTGAGCTGTTGTGGAGCAGCTCCGCCGTCACATCCCGAAAAGTTCACATCCCGGTTTCACTGAGCTGTACAGGTGCTTTGCTTGGTCCTGGGGCCTCTTGGGCCAAAACAAACCCCCCTGGGAGCTCGTCCTGAGCTGTCCTGACTCGGCTCTGTCTGATCCCTGCAGCTCCTGACCACCAGCACGTTCCCGACGGAGTGTGGATCGTTGTGGGGCTCCTCAACTTCATGGCCTACACGTTAGGTAAGAGTGTTCCTGCTGGGCTGTGCTCACCTGGTCGTGCTGTTGGCTGCATTGTCACCCGGTCTCTGAGCCCCCTGGGAAATGTTGGATTCTGTCTCCCGCCAGGCACTGATCCAGCTGCTCCTGGGTCTGCTGGAGCAGCTTCTGGGAGCTGCTTTGCAAAGTGGAGAGAAGGAAGTTGTCCCAGAGCAGCAGATGAGGAAAGGAGGAAACTGGAACCGAGACAAATTTGAGATAAATTGTGAAATCCTGTCTTGGGTCTGCTTTAAATAGTCAGGAATCACAGAATGGTTTGGGTTTGGAGGGACCTTAAAGTTCACCCCCTGCCATGGGCAGGGACACCTTCCACTAGCCCAGGTTGCCCCAAGCCCCCTCCAACCTGGCCTGGGACACTTCCAGGGATCCAGGGGCAGCCACAGCTTCTCTGGGAATTCCAGCCCAGCTCCTCCCCACTCTCCCAGGGAAGAATTCCTTCCCAATCTCCCATCTCTCCCTGCCCTCTGGCAGTGGGAAGCCATTCCCTGTGTCCTGTCCCTCCATCCCTTGTCCCCAGTCCCTCTCCAGCTCTCCCTTTAGGCTCTGGAAGGGGCTGCTTTAAGGAATACAGAGGAAATACAAGGCACTAAACGTAACCTTGTCAGCCTGTTGCGTTTCCAGCCTCCCATGGATCAGGGGTGGGTGGGAATCCCACTCCCTGCTCCCCGCCGGAGGGTGGGAGCGGTGGCTCCCCCTGTGCTTTGTGTGTGGGTTGTCCAGGAGAACTGCCCCTTCCTCCTCCTCCTCCTCCTCCCAGATGGAGTTGACGGGAAGCAGGCGCGCAGGACCAACTCCAGCACCCCCCTGGGGGAGCTCTTCGACCACGGGCTGGACAGCTGGGCCTGCGTGTACTTCGTGGTGACCGTCTACTCCACCTTCGGCCGCGGCTCCACCGGCGTCAGCGTCTTCGTCCTCTACCTCCTGCTCTGGGTGGTCTTGTTCTCCTTCATCCTCTCCCACTGGGAGAAGTACAACACGGGCATTCTGTTCCTGCCCTGGGGATATGACATCAGCCAGGTGGTGAGTGCCCAGCCAGCCCCTGGGTTGGGATGTGCCCACCTGCCACGGGGTGCGAGGGAGGAGCTGGCTCTGCCCGCCTCCAGAGCCTTGTCGGTCGTGGAATTTTCCCCTTGGAGGTGGATTCTCCGGGAAAACCGAGGTTTGAAGGGTGGGCACTGCCTTGTCTTTCCTCTCTCCCTGGTTCTCAGCGCGTGTTTTGGCCACCTGAAGTGTGGCTTCGGGCAGGTTCCTGCGTGGCACCGGTGTGGGTGAGTTCCAGGCTGGATGTTTGGGGTGCCCTTTGGCGCTAGTGGGACAGCTGCCAAAACCACAGCGGGGTTAATTGGCTCGTTAATTGCTGTGCCTGGAGCAAAGGTGCCCAGGGAAGTGCCCCCCCATACCCCAGTGCCTGGGCAGTGGGCGTTGAGACTGATGGTGATGGACCCTCCGGGGTGTTGGGGTCTCCATCCCTCGTTAAGGAATTCTCTGCAGGAAGCTTTTTGTGATGACAGCTGGCATGAGAGAGGTCCCCTGTGTTGCTGGCAGTGCCTTCCACTCGCCCAGGTTGCTCCAGGCCCTGTCCAACCTGGCCTTGAACAATTCCAGGGATGGGGCAACCACACGTTCTCTTGACAACCTGTGCCAGTGTTTTACCACCCTCACTGTAAAAAAGCCTCTTAGATCTGATTACACCTGTTTTATTTATCTTCTGGCTCATCAGGTGCTGGAAGGAGAGTTCAGTGAATGCAGCTGCACTATAATAATTGTAATAATCATCTCTCCTGGTAAAGGACTCCAGAGCTGAACCCCAGATAACTCTGAGCCCTTTCTCCACAAGTGTTGCTTAACGCCCGTGCTTTCAGCTCGTGCCCCTTGCAGAAGGGCAGGGCTGGAGGGCTGAGCTGCCCTGCAGCGTGTTCCACCAGTTCAGGGGGGCTGGTAAAGCTGAAATATTCCCTGTGAGCCTTTGCCCTGTAATCCAGCAGCAGATGGATAAGAAACTGTCCCTGAGTGAACCCTCTGGGGTCACTGGAACTTGTGGTGTAAAACCTGTCACTGTGCTCGGGACATCTCGTGGGTTCTGGCTGAGCAAGGGGATCCTGGCTCCTGGTCCTGCCCTTCTCCAGGAATCACTGAGGCTGGAAAAACCCTCTGAGACCATCGAGTCCAACCATCCCCCAGCACTGCCCAGGCCACCACTGACCTGTGTCCCCACGTGTCACATCCACAGGGCTTTTAAATCCTGCCAGGGAGGGGACTCCACCACCTCCCTGGGCAGCTGTGCCAGGGCTGGACAGCCCTTTCCATGCAGGAATTCTCCCAGTATCCAACCTGAGCCTCCCCTGGCACAGCTGGAGGCCGTTCCCTCTCCTCCTGTCCCTTGTTCCCTGGGAGCAGAGCCCGACCCCCCCCAGCTCCCCCCTCCTGTCAGGGGGTTGCAGAGCCAGAAGGTCCCCCCTGAGCCTCCTTTGCTCCAGGCTGAGCCCCCCCAGCTCCCTCAGCCCCTCCTGCTGCTCCAGCCCCTTCCCAGCTCCCTTCCCTTCCCTGCCC